AGGTGGTACCACTCTGAAGGAGAAGGTCTGGGTATCTGTGATATTACTGGCTGTATAGGATACTGCTGGAGCAGTTCTGGCTGAGAAGAGTACAGTGGTTTTCAGGTTTCCATGGACAGCATGCAGGAGTGTCATCTTTCATCCTGAAGAGCTGTTTCCTCTCTCCCTCCTCTTAGGCAGCTGAAGCTTTTTTGTTCCTCCATCTGCGAGAGTCCCTTTCCTTGATCTTAATGATTGTCCTCTGGTAAGCCATCAAACCCCTGGTCTCTGGGATGCTAACCAGCCACCAGAACCTCCTGGTGGAACATCCAAGATCCTGCCTAGGGAGCCAGGTTCCCTGAGTCTTCCCAGAAGCCCAGCTGAACCAAGTGGCTTTCTCAGTGCAAACCAGACAAATTCTGACAGAAGAGAGATCTGGGACCCCCTACTTATTAAATGAACCCATATGCCGAAAGGGGCCCAGCCAGGTGCCAAATATAGGCTAGAACTGAGAGGAAGCAGCAGAGCCATCAGCCCTCCTGAGGGACACAGTAGGGTGGCAGATCTCCTATAGCTTTAGTGAAGGGACCATGTGCTTCTTAATGGGGTTGAAGGACTTGCCTCCTGATGAGTGGCATTTGAAATGTATGGCATTTCTGCTTTTGTGATAAGTATTACAAAGTGTTGTTTGTTAGCTTTAAAAGAAAAAGGAGGGGAGAGCCTTTCAAAATCCCAGCTTCCCCACAGGAGCTTCGATTTGTTTTATCTTTAAATAGTTCTGTCTCTGCATGTTGAGCTCATTGTTAGTGTGCAGGCATTTACTTCTGGAGCACTCTGTGATGATGGTCTTGAAGTCTAACCAGTGATCCAGAAGAGACCAGCAAGGATTAGAGAATGTAGGTCTCCTTACATAAAGACATAAATCTTGTATTATAGGAATATAGGTTTCTCCCCTAGAGGTCTAGAAGCAAAGTTACATTTTTGATAATAACTTGGTTGTGAAACTGCATGTCAAACAATCCATTTTTAATACTGATATTTTGAGACACTCACATCTTCACTTGTGCATTTGTTGATGTGTTAAACAAACGTGTTTGAGCGTTAGGCGTAGGCTGGACCTTGGGGAGATGCTGGAGATACTATAATGAGTAGGATCCTGTCCCTGCTCAAACTGGCACAGCAGAAAAAGCCTGTGGGTTAGAAGGTGATATCAAATAGTGTCTCACCTTGTGCCCCTAGCAGTCACACGTAAGCAGACCTTGGTGCTTTCTCTGTAATCCTTTTGGCTTTCCAAGCAGATGGTTTCACTGAGACTGTTGCAGCTCAGTGGGCATATAAAACTTTATAAATAACAACAACAAAAAGAGGTGGGATAGATTGGGCCCATGGGCTAGTTTGCTGGCTGTTGGAGTCAAACCTTCTTTGAGAAGGTGTCTATGGGTTTTCAACCTTAAGAAATGTAGCTGTGGCCAGGTATGGTGGCACAGACCTCTGAACCCAGCACTCAGGAGATTGAGACAGGAAGATTACTACAAGTTGGAAGCCAGCCTGGGTTACATAGTGAGTTCAAGGCCAGCCTGAATTTCATAGTGAAACTCTGTATCATAAAAGAAAGAAAAAACTGTATGTGGTATCCTGTTTGATTAGCCCAGAGCCTGTAATGTTAGAAGCTAGTTTTAAAGACTGCAAGTTACTAAGCTAGAGACGTGGTTGTATCACTTTTATAACCAGTTTTATTTCTACCTTTCCAGTATTTGGGCATTCTTTCTTCCACTGACCCCACACTGACTCATGCTCTCCTCCTTCTCTGATCACACACATTGTACCTAAATGCATCATGGTTTAAATGCCTGCTTTGATGGGTATCATCACACTGTATGGAGGGGGGAAGAAGATGGCCTGAAAGCACGCATCAGGATGTCACATCTGGCAGCTGGTAGGAGGAGTGAGAAGGGGGCTGCTATTCCCAGAGGTTTCTCAAAGATGCCTGCTGGTACGTCAAGAAGGGCAGGAGGGGTAGACATGTGTTAGAGAGGCAGGGGGACAGGTGTTTGTTACTGATACCTTCAGATAATAGCATCGCAGGATTACAGGGGAAGTGGCAGGCAGAGCCAGGTGGTACCCACCTGGACTGCCCAGTGATCTGGCCCCCATTTAAACTGATGTCTTATAGAAAAGTTGGTCCAGCAGAATGGGAAGGACAAGGACATTTGACCTTGGGCCAAGCCTCTGCCCTTCTCTGTTATCTTAATTTTTTGTTCTAGATTTGATTTGTTGACCACACCCAGCAAAATAGAAATCTGCAGGTACCAGACATTCATTCTCTAGTGGCAGGTTAGGGACCCACTATGGGACACTGCCACGGGGCTTCAAAAGACTCACTCATCCAAGGAGAATAGAGATTCAAGGTCCCACTGGTCCTCAGTCCAACAGCATGGCTGTTTCCTCCTAATCTTTGCTGACATCATGCAGGCACTCTCTAGGCAAATAAGCGTGGCTACCTCTTGGTGCACTCTTCCCTTCTCCCGCCCATTCAGAGCCTAGGAATGCCTTTTTTGTTCCCCTGGGCAGCATCCCAGTTTTGCAAGTCCTCTTCTTTTCCTCTCAGTCACATGGGAGGAACACCATAAAGCCAGAGACACTGATCTAACCAGCACTGACCCCAAGCAGCTCAGGTGGCCAAGAGCACCCCCCAGTCACATGGTGCTGTGATGGCCACAGGGTCTGGGAAGCCTAGGCCCCTGTGAATGTACCCAGAGTCAGTGAGACAGACAAACAAAAGGAAGTGAACATGTCAGACATAGCAGCTAGGGCAATAGACCAAGAACAGTCTCCAGAGCCCTGACTCCAAGGACTCCAGCCTTCCTTTGGAGAAGTTAGAAAGGTAAGCTAGAGGGTGAGACGTGGCAGAGAAAAGAAGTTGCTTTGCAAGGGTAAACAGTGTCACAGTCAGACCTTAGGGGTTTGAGCATAAATTAAACTTGCCAGGCACCTGGTTCCCCTCACTTGAGTACAGAGAAGCTAGGAAACGAAAAGCATAGGAATTGCCCCCTCTGCAGGGCCCAGGATGTTGCACAGTACTGAGGAAGGGCTGGAGCACAAGGGCAGTCTCTCCTCTGCCTCCAGCCTCTCAGCCTACGTGGCATCTTCACCCTGCGGTCTAGTTCCACTGCCTTGCTTCTTGAGAATCTGCAGCTGCTGCTTACTACTCTGACCTCCAGATCTTTCTACACTGTTTTCGGCCAGCATCCCGCATTTCATTTTAAGGTTTCTTGTTTAAATGAGATGAAATTCACATAATATAAAATTTACCATTTCAAAGAGTACAGTTCACAAGTTAGTATATCCATCACCTCTATTCAGTTGCAAAACATTTTTGTCACCCTAAAACGAGATCCAGGGATGATAATCACTCCCAGCCAGGCCTCTGCATCCTGTCTGTATGGAAGAGACCCTGGGGATATCTCATACAGGGTTTGTGTGGCATGCGGAGGTCAGGCTTGGCTTCTTCTACTTAGCAGCATGTTTTGAGCTGCATCCACATGAGGGCCTGTGTCAGTGAGCTGCTGACTCAATAGGCGTGTGGTTGTGCCCACCTTTGGGCTGTGGACCTGTTGTACAGGAGTTTGCTCGTGACCCAGCTTTTAGTTCTGAGTTTATACTAGCTGTGGAAAAGCAGAGTTATATGGTATTCTCTGCTTTGAGTTCATTGAGGAACCATCAACTACTTTCTTGATTTTGGTTTTAAGTATTTAGAGCTTTGCATTTTGCTTTGTGTATTCTTCAAGAAGCAACCACCAGCATGTGTGTTTACTTTCTCCTCCCCAGCTCTGCAGTTTGCCAAGGTCATCTTGAATTCTCAGGGCCATCACTTGGCCACCTGCCAAATTGGTTTCCTCTACAAACTTAATGAGCTTGACTCCTGTTCCATCATTTAAGTCATTTATAAAGTGTCAAATGCCAGAGCCCTGGCTGATCCCAGCTCAACCTTAGCTTGTTTGGTCCCTCTGTATATGTCCCCTGGGTCCTTAATACCACTCAGCCAGGTCTGAAGTGTTCCTGCAGCAGAGACATAATCTGAGTCGAAGAACTCTGCGGGCCCTCTGACTGGCCTAAGGACGCTGTGTCTTCCTTGTGCTCTCTGGCTGGGATAGGCTGGGTAGCATCAGCAAGGTGGAGGCAGGGTATGGTCATATTGGTATGAGCAGAAGGAAAAGCCACACCAGGCAGGTGAGTTTCGGTAATAGGAATGCATGAGGCAGAGTGAAAGGTGAGGCTGGCGACAGGGGTTCCAGGAAGTGGGAATGCTTTTGAGCAGATGGATAGGCATGGTGTTTACAGAAGGGGATAAAGGAATAAAAGAAAGGTGGTTACTGGAGCCACACAGAAGGCATCTCAGAGAGCTTCTATGGCAGACTGGAGTAGACTAGGAGTACACTTCTTGTATCAGCTCTGGATGCAGGCACAGAAGTCCACCGAGCACAGCTCTGAGGGCAAAAGCTTTGTCCTTCTGTGTTTGACGTTTTCCTTGTGCATGGCCAGTCTTAGCAGTTGAATTTGAGGCAGGGTATATTGGGACAGATGTGGGACAAAATAAGTTCCTTGGTCAGTGTGTGGGGGAAGCAGATCTGGAAGCAGACCCCAAATAAAGATGCTTGTTACTGTCCCATGTGGGATTCTGACTAAGTCTCTCTGGCCCTCTCTAAGTCCTTAGTTGTCAAGTGAGAGAAAGGACAAGGCAGGGTAGATGGTCCTCTGCATTGCCAGTGTCTGTGAGTTGCAGAGACATCCTCAGGTTCCACCCTTGTGCAGCCCAGCTCTTCACTGTAAGCTTTGACTAAAACCCATCCAGACTTTGTGGTGAGAAGAATAAGAGTGTGTATCTCCAAGGCACTAAAGGGTATGTGCAGGACTCAGCTTGTCCAGGTGTGGAAACCATGGTGACTCTGTCCAGGGAGGTGCACCAGGGCAGGCTTAGTCCCTGCAGTGTGTCCAATCAGCCTCAGACTCCCTCTCTATAGGTTGGTGCTATCGGCGATGAGGAGGAATGGGTCTGCCTCTACGAGGAGGAGAATGAGCCTGATGCCCAGATGCTGGAAATCCCAAACCTCACGCCATACACCCACTACAGGTAAGAGCATCTTGAGCAGGTGGTATCTGTCAGGAAGAACAAACCCAGTTTTATATATAAATTTGAAGTTCCCAAAGTAGCAATAAATAGTAAACTAAAACCTTAAGGAGCATGCAGGACACACAGCTGAGTTTGACCAAGTTATTGACATCACTACTAGACCAAAGAGTACTCATATAAGGGCTGTCTATTGTATTGAGTATGACAACTGAGAAGGCTGTGGAGATGTGGCACTTTTCTTTACTGAGCTCTCCAACCTCTTGGTGCCATTAACATGCTGTGTGCAAACAAAGCAGATGTCCTAGGAATATCCTTCTGCCTCCTTCTGCCAGGACCCAGGCATTGCTAGTCTCACCAATCAAGCACTTAACATGCCATTTAACCTTTTGCTTCTTGATCCTGAAACTTATCCAAGCAGTAAATCCTTGGCCTTAACAAAGGGTAAAGTGATCATGAGCTGTTAGTGATGTTATAACTTCCCGTAAGAGCATTGAAGGAGATGAAATTTCCAGTTATCACCAGATGTTGAGTTTGATAATGTCATTGTTCTGCCAGGATGGATACATTTCATGAGATCAGGGAATGAAAGAATAAGAATTACTAATTCAGGGAGTAAAAGGTGAAATTACATCTCGTGAAGCACAATTTCTCCGTACGATATCAAAGTTGGAGTTTTAAAACACCTAATAAGAGGCACGTTTTAGCATGTATTCATTTTAACATCTTTTCTAAGCTTAAGAGCAGATGAATCAAGATGTATTACACTAGTTTTTAGAGAAAAACATTAGCTCAAAATGAGCTAGCGGGATTCAAAACTTGCCGTGTGAAATTAGCCAAAGCTATATAATTATTCTGAAGATCAGAAACTGTGATTAGAGATCAATGACCCTGTCTTAAGTTCATATAAACTTAGAGAACCTCTGTAATAAATACATGTGTCAGCACTCGGGATTTTTATTGTATATGAATTCAATTCAAATAATTATACATAGAAATAGAACAGAAAAAGCATTAGCACATACCTTGGAGAGCACCTGCCTCCACCTCACCTTGTAGATAAAGAAACAGAGAGTTCTGATTTGCCGAAGGTCTGGGATCCCGGGGAAGATTCTGGCCATTACTCTCCTCTGAAACCAACAGAGTGCCCTTGGTTATTAAAAAGACCTCAGACTTTCAAACTTTTCTTTGGAAGCAGAGCTCTTTCCTAAGAAGCAGTCATGGGTGTGGTATTATATATTATTGCCTTTTGCTTTGTGGTAACTTTTGGCAATGGCTTCTCCTCTAGATTTCGAATGCGCCAAGTAAACATCGTTGGTCCCAGCCCCTTCAGCCAGTCATCCCGTGTGATCCAGACCCTGCAGGCCCCACCTGACGTGGCTCCCACCAGCATCACCGTGCGGACAGCCAGTGAGACCAGCCTGCGGCTGCGCTGGGTGGTAAGTTAGGGTGTGAAAGGGGAGCTGCAGGACCATGTCCTAAGGAGGCCATGGCTTACCAGGAAACTCAGAGCTTAGTGATTCTTTAGTCGTGTCTTTTCTTCATCTAAACTAATCCCATCACTAACCCCTAAAGTATTACACATAATAATTTTAGTTTATGATCTAGAGCAGCCCAAGATACCACATTAATTACTAGCATTGCTCCCTCTCTTCTTGGCTCAGGGACTGCTCTTCAAGAAGGAATGCAGACCATACCATGCACTGACCTGTCAGTCTTTGAGCTCGGTCAATATGGAACCAATTCTTGGTAGTATTTGTAAGAGAGCCAACCTAGGGGCTGGGGATTTAGCTCAGCAGCGTAAGTGCCTGCCTTGCTAGCAGGCAGTCATGAGTTTGATTCCTGGTACTGATAAAAAGACAAAAAAAAAAAAAGAGAGCCAGCCTAGTGTTTAATTAGAACATTTTCCACAAAATTAAGCCAAAATGTATTAAAAGAAATTATGTCCAGTGCATTACTAACAGGGTTTCATTTAATCAGCAGAAGAAAAGTTAGACTAGAAGGATCTAAGGATATCCTTCCTCCACTACCCTTTCCTGCACCCAAAAAATGCTTTTGGTAGAATTGGCTCTGTAAGACAGGCCTGTCCTTTATGACCTTAAAAGCCGATGATGTTGAGGTATCAACTCTTCACAGACTGTTATTCATTGCCAGCCCCTGCCTGATTCCCAGTACAATGGGAACCCTGAGTCCGTGGGTTACCGAGTGAAGTACTGGCGCTTAGACCTCCCAACCTCTGCACTGGCCCAAGTCGTCAATGACCGGCTGGAGAGGGAGCTCACTATCGAGGAGCTGGAGGAGTGGACGGAATATGAGCTGCAGATGCAGGCCTTCAATGCCATCGGGGCCGGGCCGTGGAGCGAGGTGGTGCGAGGTCGGACGAGAGAGTCAGGTGAGAGGGGGCGGGGCTGGTCCCAGAGATATGTCCTCTCTACCTCTCACTGGAGATGGGCATGATGACACTGAGTCCCCAAATCTCAACCAACTACATCATATTAGCATGTCCCCCTGTGTCTTTATTGGTACACTCCATGCCTGCTAGTTAGGCCAGACGTGTTAGACGTGTTAGACCAGCCTCAAGAGAAGTTCAGGTGAGACTTCCCTGGGGCACCAATCATTAGGACTTCTAGTGGGTGAGTGGGCCTCTTCCGGGAAGTGACTCGAGGACCCAAGCTTTGCTATACCATGGGACTAGTCACCATCTCTTCCCAGAGGAAACAGAAAGAGCAAAGAAGGGGGCACGTGTCCTTCTGAAAATCTGTGAGGAGATGTCCTGGTCGTCCTGTTCTTTGCCTTTAGGCTTGGTCAAGAATACTGCTGATTTCCAGAGAGAAAACAAATGTCTTTGGCCAACACCAAGTAGTCTCTACTGCAGCATGCTGATGACAGGCATGTCCCCTAGCCTTCCTGGCTTTACAGGAGAACTTTAGCCAGTCTCAGCATCTCTACAACTTTCATCTGTATCAACACAAAGGAAAGGGCACAGCACACACTCTGCAAAGACTGACAGAGACTAGCCTTCATCCCAGTCCACATTGGCAAGGTAGTCTGACAAGCAAGGAGCCAGATGTCCTTGCCCACCTTTGAGAGATGCCACAGCATGCACTTGACATATTGAGGAGTTGTTCATTCTAGACTGACTGAAGTTATCAGGAAGAGCTCTTAAAATAAACCCTGACATGAGTCCACACAGGGTGAGGGAAAGGTATGAACCATATCAGAAATCCAAGGGGAAGACCCAGGCCCCTACCCTTCCTACAGAAAACCCTCATCCATTTTCCTTTTTGTCATAAAATACTTCTCTTTGGTAACTGTATTAAACCTTGCTCTAACTCTACTAAAGACCCAGGGGTGTTTCTTGAGCCCTGCATGAGATTCCTTCCTAGAGGCTCCAAGGGGGCACATTTGATACGTCCCCCTGGGACCCAAGGAAGAATAGGAGGGAGTTTGGAGGCAATGATACTGTCCATGGCTATCCCTACCCAGAGTGCTGGAAAAGCCATAGGCCCACTCTCCAGCCAGAACCTCTCTTGTCCTCTCCTCACGCCCGATGCCATAGGAGGAAGTCCTATGGCAAGAATGATTCCAAATAGCAAAATTAATTAATTAAAATTTATGTTGAAAACTGCCTTAGGAGATACTTAGAATTCAGTGTGACTTTGACAGGAAATATTTAAAGGATGAGTTAGGAGGGTCACATGCATGCCAGTGCCTTGAAGAAAAGTCCAGACACCAGGTGGACAGAGGTGGGAAACACAGTGGGTGTATGCCTCCTGGCATGGCTGGAGGTGACTTTGGAGCAGGCATCCTTGGGTTGAAGGAAGTTGGGAAGTCCTGGCCTGCCCAGTGCTGAAAAAGAACACAAAAACCCAGACAGTTGGTGCCATGATCGCAGTGAGGTCTACAGGGAGAGCTAGAGGGAGAAGGTGGCCTCCTGACGAGGCAAACAGGGCTCTTGGCACCCTGCTGGCCAGACTGGCCCTCAACTCCCCATTACTTATCACCAGTGCCTACTGGGTACTGTGTGGCTTTACCAGGTTACCTATGTGTCAAAATGCTGACCCCTCACCTGCAGGGGTCAGCTAGGAGGGGTGCCAGTGGTTCTCCACACAGCTGCTCAGTATGAGAACAAAGGCATTCCCTTGTGTCACTATGTGGATTATGGCTCAGGGAACACCAGGCAGAGGTTCTTGTCCTATCCTCTTTGCTTCCTCCTGCCACCAGAAAGGTCAGATATGACCCTGCAATCCTAGAGACGTGCTTAGGATTCTAGGGAACCTTGACTGCTACTTCCAAGCCAAAGTTCTCAAGAGGCTTCTGGCTCTATTTCTGCCTCATTTTCTCCTGAGAAGTGGTAAAGTAAGTGGAAGAGCCCCTCAACATAGCAGGTATACACAGAATTATTGTCAGGTGGGGACATTCGCAATATGTTGTAAACGTTGGAACCTACTGAGAAGAGTCACTGAAGAATCCCCAGCACAGTGGCCAGCAGACCTCTGGGAGGAAAGATGTTTAGAGGAGGATTTGCTGGAGTAAAGTAAGACTCACTTCCCACCACAGATCTTATCAGGTCAAAGAGAAGACTGAGGCATGCTTAATACATGGCTTTGACTATGGCCGTGTAGGTTTCTTTAAAAGCTCTATTATCTTTAAGCTCTGAATCTTTGTGATGAAGAAAAGAACTTGAGAAATTTTAAGGGATAATTCTAAGTCCAGTAATAAGAAGATAATCAAATATTTTTGGAAAACATAAATTTTTTGCTATTTCCAACTAGAAAATTGTAGATAAAATATACGTATTTTGAAGATTAAAATATATTACTTTACTTGAAAGGAAAACAGTGAAATCACCCAATGTAGGTGACAAAGAGAACCAAAGCCTGAGAAGCCAGGGCTGTGCTAGGAAGGTGGAGCAGCCAGCCTGTCACCATCCTGTAAGGACCTGAGATTTGTTGCCTTTACAGAACAAGAGGGTCACCCCTTAATCTGAGGTGCAGGGTTGAGGTCCTGAACTCCCATCTGAAGACAAAGAGGCTAAAAGTACCTGCCCACAGAGGCTGGCCAGCTGCCTCGACCTCAGATGGGGGAAATGATTTCCAAGTCCTGCACCTGACTCAAGTTTGACTTCTGGGTATATACTCTATGAATGGTCCTAGAAACTTCCATATGGGAAATAATGAAGAATGTAGTTCCAGAAACAAAAAGCACAAGCAAATAATGAGAAAATAGACAAATCAGAGTTCATCAGAATGAAAATTTTGTGTTTCACAGACTATCAAGCAGAACATGGAAAAAGAAAATATTTTCACATCATGTATCCAACAAGAGGCTTGTATCCAGAATACATAAAGATTTCTTACTTCACAATGAAAAGACAAATGATTCAATTAAAACTCAGGCAAATGCCTGAATAGACATTTCCTCAGAGGAGACAGACAAATGGCTAATAAACACATGAAAAGATGCTCAGCATTATTAGCCATTAAGGAAATGCAAATCAAAACAAAAATGAGGTGTCACTTCACACCCCTAAGATGGCTTAAGTACAAAAAAATGGACAGTAACAAGTGTTGGTGAGCGGATAGAGAAATGGGAACCTTACATGCAGCTGATAAAAATGCAGAGTCATGTAGCCACTTTGGAAGGGAGCTGGTGACCCTCAAAAGATAAGCATAAAGTTCTCATAACGCATAGCAGTTCCACCACTAGGTATAAGGTATGATCAAATATTATAGTTAACTTCAGTTTTGTTTTTAAATTGATTATGGTAAAAGGTGTATTGCCATTAATCCCCCTCAAAATACTTCCTTTCACTTCAAAAGTGCTTATCATCCTTGCCACTTTCTCAAGCAGCTCTAGAAGTCATCTTTCATAAGAGTCTTTGTTGGGCTGCGACAGCTGCCTGGATGTCCTGAATCAGTTCCGAATGTTTATCATTCATGGTCATTGTGATAGTGCCACATCCAGATGAAGGTGGATGAAGGCACATCATGATGTTTTCATTTGACAGAAATTGTTGTAAATACTTTGAATTGATTCAGTGCATCAAGGCAATCACAAAAAGACACTCAGAGGAGGGTATGGGGCTTATTTGGGGGTGATGATTTGTTCTAAAGCTCTTTGTAATAATGATTATGTAGCTCTGTGAATTGTATACCATAAATAGATGAATGCTGTGATAGGCAAATTTATATCACATGAAAACTATTTTCTAAAGAAAAGCTCAGCTTTCTAGATTAACTTTATATAGATTAAATATTATTAAAACAAGTTGCTTCATAGATTGTGCCTTTTGCATATGGTCAAAAGCCCTGATTGTCCTCATTGCCCTTGTCTTGTCACCCTTAGGGAGAACATCAACTCTTCTGAAATTACTGTGTTAAACCCCAGGACTGTCCTCTTCTCTAAATAGATTAAAACAAAAAGGAACTAGAAAGAGAGGAAAGGCAGGGAAGGGAAGGAGGGGAGGAGAGAGGAGAAAGAAGGGCAGGCCAGGCAAGGGAGGGGAAGGAAAGGGAAGAGGAAAGTTAATTTCAGGTCAGACTTTATGTACAGCCAACAAAAACAAATACAACTTTTCTCTGGACAAATGTTGTCATAGCCAAACTGTCCAAAGTAAAAATCAAGCTCTCTTTATAATGAATCACAATTATGAAATGCATGTGGAAATAGTCTGCCGCAAGTAAACATGAACAGTTTGTTTTTTAAAGAAAGATCAAGGGCCTTGGTTGCTTTAAAGTACATGCTGCTATTAAAGAGAATATGTAATAAGTACCTTTTAAATTATCATAGTCTTGAATTATTAAAAGAAAATATTAGAACTTTGAAGATTAAAATACCATTTTTAAATTAAATTTATTTTTGAAAAAAACAAATAGACATTGAAAATAAAACTCTATGGTTGAGGCAAAAAGCGGTTTAGACACTGCTAGAGGCTAATTAGCTAGAGGCTAATTTGAGTCAGTAATTCAAAACTCAGTGAGTCAGCACAGCACAAAAGCATAAAGTTTGACAATAAGACAGTGGATAAGTGGCAAAGAACTAAGTGAAACTATCGAATAGAAATCCAAAATAGAAAAGTGAGCAAGTCTGCATAGATCTGCTGAGAACGTCCAGAATTGATGAAAGACATTATCACTATAAACAAGCATGAATCCTCATAAATCCACACCAAAATGTACTATAGTTCAACTTTAAAATGCTGCAACCAAAGAGAAAGCTGTAAAAACAGAACAAAAAGCAGATAACCCAGAAAGATAGTTGTAACAATCTGACTGATGTGATTTTTCAAGAGCTATAAGGCCAGAGGGAGGCTGGGTAATCATCTTGTAGGAGGTGAAAGAAAAAGACAAATAAGCACCAAATTTTACACCCAGCTAAACTATTTCTCAAGGATTTCATTCATAAAACAACAAAATTACATGTTCTGTAAAAATGAAGAAAACATAATAAAGACTGGAAACAATGTTTTGATAATTTTACAAAGAATACTCTTTAAAATCAGTAAACCTATGCGAAATTGCTGAGTGGGAGCTATGTTTCCTACAAACATTTCAAGCTTTTGGAACCTATTTCTACAGTAGTTTTTGTTTTGTTTTGTTTTGTTTCTTAACTTTGTTCTCAGACAATCATGTATCTCTTTTATGGTAACTCTGAAGAAACTTTCTCAAGCAGTGTTGCTTATTTTTGTAGGATAATACTGAGGAGTTGACTTCGCAGCAAGAGAAACGTAGTGGATTTAGCTTTGTCTTAAGTTAACTAACTCCTGTAACTGAAGAGGAATTCTAAGAAGCCCATGCAGAATGAACTACTGACTGAACTATGGTTGTGTTCACAGTTAATTCATTGAGGTTTCTGAGCAAGAGGAAGAATCACTCTTGTAGCTGAAGTTTTGCTGAGTCATCCTCTCCTTTCTGCTGAGGGTTATAATCTACAGAAAATTCCTTTTTAAATCTCCACTAAATTTTTTTGTTTAGTTAGAAACTTCACTGGAATACATTTCCTTGGGAAGAAGACAAGAGTTTTGGTTTAAGTGTTTTCATCACAAATGAAACAACTATGTTATTGATCTTCATTATGTGGACTCTTCAGTTTTCAGACATCTTACGTGCCTTAGTTACAGGCTTCTTAGGACTCCTTTTGAGCTAATCTCTGCTCTGTTAGGTGCTGGTCCTCAGTGTTTACTCCAGTTACACACACTTGCCAGGGAACATTCAGGCACTCCTCCAGTGCTGTGGGTCCTATTGGACATTAGCTATCTACCTTCTGGATGGTGTCAAGAGCCTGCTTTCCTGGGGGCTCCTCCCTCTGGCCCCAACACCATCCCCAGAGCAGCAGTTCCGACTTCCTGCCTCCTTTCCTTCTGGTAACCTCTAACACTCATCATCCCAAGCAAAGATATCTATCCTGCCTGGTCCAGCTCAGCATTTCAGCTGGTGAGAGGGAGATGGAGACAGTGATGGGGGTTGAAGCTTGGAGACACTGGGCAGGGAACGGGTTGTAGAGGGAGCTGAGGGGAGAACAAAGCTGCCAGTCACTGTCCAGGTAAAAGTCTCACATCAGTGAAAACTGCGGTTCCCTGAAATGCTCAAAAGGACAGTTGAAAACATGGAGAGGGCACCTTGAGCCACATTGAAATGAAGTTTACAGTTTTAAAGTACATTCCAACAGGTTCTATGATGTCTTGTGATATATTATAGAGATAAATGAGGCTTTAAAAATCAAAAGAGGTACATTCGGAACAGCAGTGAACTGCACAGTGAGGCTGCTGTTGAGCAGAGAAGACAGATGGAGCAGGAGAAAGTAAGCCCTGGGGGTGAGGAGTTTCTAGGAACACCTGAAAACTTAAGATGTTGATCTGTCTCAAAATAAATGAGGGGTAAGCTTTGTCTTTTTTAAATCTTAAAATCATATCTGGTACCCAACTGGCAGATTTCGTCTGATTAAAACTTGAATGAGCTGAAATTTTAATCCTGAAATGTGCCATTTTCTCTTTTCTATCAGCCCACCTTACTCTCTCCTTGTGAGAAACTCAGCCATGTTCAAAGCCTGAGTTGTTAAAGTCACAAGATAGCTCCGTTTCTTTGGGACTTGGCCGGTTCTCTTATAAATGGATGTGCCTATTGCCTACCACATCTTGGAAAATCAGCAATCATTTCTGGATTTATAGTGAAAATTGAGCACTTACAGCTTCAAAGACTGACCTGCAGGAAACAGTTCAGGGTCTGAGAGGTGGACCAGTTGGGTTGCCATGACAATGGCCTCTCTTTTTACAGATGGGGACAGGTTTTAGCACACAGCACTGAAGTCATGGGCCTATAGTACATCTGTTGTTCGCATTTTAATAAGATCAGATCAACTATAGGTTTACTTTTCTTTTAATGGTAGTGACTCTTTTAATTCTAGCTGTTTCAACATCCTGGCTTATTACTCTTTTTTATTACAATAAACATGTGTTTAAGCCATTTCCCTGTTATAGCCATAGAGGTATTCAGACACCCAGGTGGAACCTTTGCAGGCAGAGTGAGCGTGTGTGAACCACACGAGCCATAACTGGTCACCATCTGGGACAAGTATCTTTCCTCTTTAAGAGAAGTGATTACACTGAAAATTACAAATATTCCTTCTTTGTAACATACCTGCTCAAATACATGGATATGCATTTGTCAAATGACTAACAGAATGAGTGATTCTCCTCTGACATATTTGAGAAGAGGCTTATCTGTCAGGTTGGGCTGAGCAGCATTCTCTCTTCCCAGCATATAAGGAGTATCGCTGTAGTCTGTCCTAGCAGGAGAGAGCAGGCACTTTTCTGTTTGTGAACACACTCCCTGGCCAGCCCGAAAGGTAGTCCGATGTGAGTGAGCCAGAGTGAGGGGCCAAGGTGGGTGTCACCAGGCCATGGCTTACCTGAGGTCTTCTTCCTTTCTTATTCCACCCCACAGAAATGACTGACTGTGTGGGAACCTGGTCAAGCTTGCCAAATTTCTAGGACTTTTATGAATATTGGCATTTTGTCATAAAAAGTATGTTTGTGTTTTAGCAGAATACCCCAAAGTGGGTGACTGAAATGACAGATATATTTTCGCCTAATTTCAGATGCCAGAGTCCAGGGTCCAAAGGTGCTAGGAAGGCTCTGCCCCAGTCCCTGTCCAGCTCTGAGAGTTCCTTGGCTCATGGCAGCATCTCACTTGTCTTCCTGTGACATTATCCTTGTGTGCATCTGTCCCCAAGTTACCCCATTTCATAAGGACACTAGTGAGTTGGATTAGAGGTACGGCCTACTCCGCCATCAGTGGATCTCCACAGTCATGTTTCCAAACATGTCCCATTTTGAGGTATCTAGAGTTGGAACTCCAAGGCAGGAATTTGGAGAATCGCAGGTTTCGGCTTCTGACAAAGATCAATGCATTTTGGCATAGAGCATGGAGCAATCCCGTGGAAGAGAGCAGCATTATGGGGCAAACCCACAATCCTGTCTATATAAAGGCTAGCGAGCTGCGCTCACAACCTCTGCTGCAAGGAGGAAGCCTTAGGGCTGGGTGAATGAGTGATTGAAGGAACAGGTCTTGGAAAGAGAATCGGGAAAGTCTTGGAGTGGGCTCAAGGAGCCTACTGTCACAGAGCCCTGTAGGCTGTGGCACTCCCAGCAATACTTTTGTCCCTACATCACGGGCGCAGTGCCGACAGTACCATCACTTCTCTGTCTTCAGAACTAAAGCTGCAGATTGTCTGCTAAGTGAAAGTGTTGGGCACTAGGAAAGGGAAGAGTGGGCTATCATAACGACCATGAAATGCAGGAGCAAATGTGTCTCCTTCTCACCCTCGTGTAATGTGACCACAAGATCAAGCTCAGGCTCAGACACCCCTTTGCTCATGGCCTGTTGCAATAACTGTGCATCCTCTGACTTCCCCAGGTCCATCCTCTCCTCTCTTCTCTGGTCTGAATTGCCTTTGAAGTGCAGATGAATCTACAAGAAAATAGCAAAGCAACTGAGATTACCTAGAGATACGATGCTTGTTTTTAAGGTTGCACTGTTGTCATTATATATTTTGATCTGCATCCTAGCATACATAACAAGACAATTAGTGACAACATAGACAGAGGATAGATTATATAAAGGCAGTAAAATGATTTGTGTGTACAAGGATCAGGAATTACATGGCTGGCTCTGCAGACCATCCTGTCTCAATGTCAAACATTATTTTAGATGGAGCAGGATGAGGCTCCTTGAGCCTTAGGCCTCTCATCTGTAGGCAGCATAACAATACCTGCCTCACTGGATCACCAGGGGGATTAAGCTCCATCAGGACTCTGAGGACACTGCCTTGCGACAGCACATGGCAAACCTCCTCTTCTCTTCTCTCTGGGTACATCATAAGATCATTCCGCTGTCCAACCTCCTGTCCCCATCACTGAATGCCATTTAGAGAAGTCAGAGAGCTATGTCTGTCTGAAAATGAGGCTTCTCATTTAAGACAAAAGCCTTCAGGGCCATGAGTTATCAGAAAAGACAGACTGAGCATATCTTCTTGCTGGGTGGACTCAGGTAAAATTGAGCGCTAAATACCCAGGATTTATGGCATTTGTTGCTAATATTAAAGAGATTTACATACCTGTTATACTCCTGCAAGTTTAATCTGACTCCTACAAAATGCTCAGAATGTGTCACTATTTCAAGGACAACTTGATGATTTGAGTGAAAATTTTATTTATTTATCTTTTATTTATTTGTTTATTTATTTATAGACGCAATTTAGACTTTTGATGGTAATCAGTGTATCACATTCTTTGCAGTTCCTTCAGCCGCCCCTGAAAATGTATCTGCAGAGGCTGTCAGCTCAACCCAGATTTTACTGACATGGGCATCTGTCCCTGAGCAGGACCAGAACGGGCTCATCCTGGGCTACAAGGTACATGTTAGGTCTACCTTGCTTTCTTAAGGTGCTGCAGGGGAAAAGCCGCCATACCAGGGCAGTGTCTGTCTTCTCCCACATCTGCAGTGCTGTCCAGGATTCTTATTTATTCTTATCTAAGCTTGTTACAGTCTGGGAAGAAGGCATTGCTGTGACTGTTTATCACATGCCTCCAAATTCTAAAGTGAGCCAGAAGTTAGACGTGGATTTACACTGCCACACTCAGGCCCTGAATTTGCCCTCCCTAAGCCAGATTCTTACTCTGCCCCTCTGTCTCCATACTTGTAAAGTAGAAACAAAGATAGCAGCTACCACCTAGGATCAGTATGAAAATCAAATGGTTATTTATGCTCCCTGCTCATGCTAAGTACTGATAAGCATGGATAGATGTTACATGTGTTGTTGTTGTACATGTTCTCATACCCTGGGGCAGTCCAAGGCAGTGGCATTGAAGCTGTCCCAGCTTCTCATGGTTCCATCTTCCATGCATATCCTGGACCCTTTAAGATCTGCTGTCCCTGTGCCCTGCTCAAGAGTGATGTGTACTGTCTCTAGACACCACCCTCCACTCCACTCTACCAAGAGCAGAAAGAACACCATAGACTTAACAAGGAAAGAACACTTGTCTCATACTCTGCTCCATGATTGTGAGCAGGCCTCCTTTTATTTGGCTATCCCAACCTGTTCTCATAAATCTGCCTTCTGCCCCGGAATTCTGGTTACTCCTCCTGGCTCCATGATACATGTCAGACCATCCAACATGACAATCCTGTAACAAATGGCAATCCTACAATTCATGGCAGTTCTACCATATGTGACAATGTGATATGTGGATGCCCCATCATACATGACCATGCCACGATGCATGGCAGTGTCATGGTGCTTAGAAGTCCTACTGAGTAGGTTCAGTGACCAAAATTCTATACCACATTTCTGAGTCTCAGTGAAAAGTCCTTTTGTGCTACCTTCAAACTCCTCCCTGTTGACCCTGTGTCTATGGTTGACCCTGTGTCTATGGCTTCCAGGTCACAGATCACAGGGAGCAGCTCAGAGGGAAGATATGGGACCTAAGTGAAAGATTAGGGTCCTGGAGGAGGACACTCTGGGTGCTATGCCTGTGGCTGGAGCTTGAGGTTCGCATGAGAAAAGAGAGCATTCTAGGATGGAAACTGGGTTTCCATGGGACTGGGAAACCAAGTGGCTGCTTTGTGGCAGCAGAGTGTCTCTGAGTCCTAGTGTTAGTAGATATAGTTGGCACAGCCACAGCTGAGCACTTCAGACCTTGCAGATTGTGACCAGGCAGCCAACTCACCAAGCTGCAGCTGTTAATTCAAGCCACCTTTCTGGCATGCCCTTGCTTCAGCACCATCTTCCTCCCCACATGCCAGCACACAAAAATTAGGTCCACAGGGGCCTTTGGTAAGGAAACCCAGGAGGCCTGTGCCCACAGAGGCCATTCTAATATGTGGTGGGGTTGTAACCATCTGTGCTTATGTGTCTCAATGCTTCAGATCCTGTACCGAGCCAAAGACCTGGATCCTGAGCCCAGAACTCATGTCGTGCGAGGGAATCACACACAGTCAGCGCTTCTGGCTGGCCTGCGCAAGTTCGTGCTGTATGAGCTCCAGGTGCTGGCCTTCACTCGCATTGGAAATGGGGTTCCCAGCTCACCCTTCATCCTGGAGCGAACCAAAGATGATGGTACGTGTGGGGCTGGTGCCAACGCTGGCCTCACTGCCCCGCAGGTTTGCTTTGCCAATCCAAACAATTTGGATTGTAGTCATTTTAAAAGTAATCTTCCAACCACTTTTTCTTTTCAGTTGAAGGAAACAAAACAAAATTGTTTTTCAGTCACTGAGCATTTATATGGCAAATTTCAGCCTGGAGTGGATTTTTACAGCCTGATTATGAAGCTATGCAGAATTTCAATTGTAACTCTGCTGTGGGCAGTGCCAGTGACAAGTAGGGTGGTCTTAAAATATGGCCCGCTCCTCTTATGGTGTCTACACAAATCTAGTTAAAAGTCCACTCTGGACATACGGACTCCAGGGCACGTGGAACTTCTGGGTCTTACCGTTTATATCTTGGGAGAGAGCTGCTAGTTGCCATGTACAAAGCAGTGCACTTGCTAGCTCCTTGGGTCCCTGGGCCCTTGTGTTTCCAAACTAAGAGCATGTATGGCATCTTTGTTTTTATGAAAGTCTAAATTATCAGAAAATATGTTTTCCCCACTTTGCAGATGTCAAGCCGTTAAAGGTTATCTCCATTCGTTATTTAACAGACTGTAATGAAGATGTCAGGAGAAATATACTGATCTCCCAAAACACCTGCCCCAGGATCAAAGGCATCTGTCAGAAGGGAAATGACTCAGGTTTCCTTAAGCATCTTTCTGAAATGACCAATGAGGCCAGACGCCCTCTACCTGCTGGGTGGGAATTGTTCTCTCATGGAACAGGCTCATGGAAAGGCTCTTGGAAAGCCTGAGCCTTTCATTCTCCAGCTCAAGGTTGCAGGGAGGGGAAGAAACCAGCAGGGAAAGTGGAATTGAGCATCTGGCAGGATTTTGTGGGAGGCAAAGTAGACGTCATTTCATTGTAACCTGCACAGCTTTCTCATGTGCTTCATGTTATTACTCCTGGAAGAAGCAGCAAGAACCTTCTTAGAAACTGCTCCTCATCTCTGACTACCCCACCCTTGCTCTTGCTCAAAGGCACATTGCTCCTAGACACATGTCACTCCTCCACCTCACTTCTGTGTCATGCAGATGATCAGCCTTGGCATGACTGAGATCTACCCATGTGTTCCAACCTTGGACTTCCTTCAGGCATTTTTTTTTTTTGTCCACACATAAGTGCATTGACACACAGGCAAACAGGCAAAGTTTAAAATACTGTTCTCAGCTTAATACCCAAAGGCAGAATTCAGCCACCTGAATGTGTACTCCACATGCCACACTGTTTCTGTATCATTGCTCCATGCCCTTTGCCTCTTACTGAGGAACGAGCCCATGATTAGAATGCAAGGAGAGGTCTCACACTGCACACACCACCTGACCTGTGTGCTTAAGCAAATATATTTCACAAAGGCTACAATCTTATTACTTAGTGGTTGCACAATTCAGAGCTTCTTTGTGACTTACCACTGTGCCAACTACCCCAAAGAATTATCAGAAGCATTTGAGTACATCAGCTCTTCTTTTTTCAGAACAAGGCAAAGGGGAAGGGTGACATGCACAAGAAGGAAAGCAGTGATTTGCCAGCATGCTGTTTCATCAGTAGTTGTGACCTTCATTCTGAGGTGGAAAGAACTTGAAGCCACCTTGTCTAACATCCGTTCTGTGTAGAGGAATCTGAGCTCCAAAGAGAGGGACCTTTTCTTCTTGATGGACACTCATACTACTTTTGCAGGGTCCTATGTGTGCTTCCAATATTTGCTATTCTTTGCACAGTTTATGAACAATACTTTCAGAACCTGGAAGAAGATGTGCAGGATTCAAAATGAGATGGATTCCCAAAATTAGTAGCCACACTGTGCAGGTTAGGTTCTAAAAGTCATTTATTAGAACCTTAGGCACATTCCATTCACAGTGTCTCGGGGCTAGACACTACGCACAGCTGATCCCGTGTAATCCCATGTGCACCTGCCTCACTGTATTTTCTCACAGCCCCAGGCCCTCCAGTGAGGCTGGTGTTCCCCGAAGTGCGACTCACCTCAGTGCGGATCGTGTGGCAGCCCCCAGAGGAGCCCAACGGCGTGATTCTGGGTAAGGAGCAGAGGGAGAGAAGGGAAAAATCATACTTGGATGCTTTCTTCTGTTTCCACTAGGTAGTTATGAGCATAAAAATAAATCTCTGCACTAGGATTTTTTCTGGGATGAAATTTACATATTATTAAACCAGGATTTCTTCCATTTGTTCATGGTTCATGGCAATACCCTTTGTAATGGGGCAGTGTCCACCATGTGTCTGGAAGGAGCAGGCCAGTTCCCTGTAGATAACACAGACCTGGGCCTTGTTCCTAAGCTCCTGGGAACATGCTCTTCTGCAATGAGACTCACCCCTGATCCTGGAGAGGAGCTGTAAGGCCAAGTGTACACCAAGAGCACATTCACATTTAAGTTTTCACTCAGAGAAACAACTCTGCTAACATTGATGAAAAGCTTTAATTTTTCCTAGCTCCCAGAGATAGCATGTTATATATTAAAATATCGTCAATTTCTTTATTTATTTATACTTTCACCAAGACAAATGGAGGACTGTGTGTCCAGGCACTATATGCATTGTGGGAAATAAAAATGAATAAGACCTTTCCATCCTCACCCATGGCCCCATCAGGCGCTGACACAAGTAACAAGCCCCATTCACTGAATGCCCCACAAGCTGTTCATGGGATGAGGGTCTCAGTGGTGGGGTCTTGAGGCTAAAGTCCACCTTTGAGCTGGGCCCTGAGGGGAAGTGTTTTCTGCAGGCCTGGAGGAACAGAGAGGGCATCTAAACAGTCCCAGACTGTGCCTGAGCTGGGCCAGGCCAGGACCTGCAGTGAGGTGCGGCCAGGGTTAAAGTGGACACTTAAGGGTAAGAGCACAGGTTATAGAACATTGTTGCAGACCCAGGTCAGCCCTCAGATGTGACATTCACCTAATCCTGACACCTCATTCAGTTAACTTGTGTTAGATGAGTTCTGGTAAAATCATAAATCTGACCTTACAAATAAGTCACCATTTTTACCTGCATTTGATGTTGGGAGTCAAGGATGTAAAGAATGTGTTTTATTTCACTTAAAAAAAAAGTTTGAAGCCCTGTGCCAAGCACAGTAGGGAGTCACCTGAGGACTCTGGGCAGGAGAGTGACACAATCAGGTTTATCTTCAGGGTGACAACTTTGGCAGCCAAGAGAAGGTGGCCTGAAAGGCAGATATTTATGGAGCATTTGCTTCATTAAGTCAGATTGAGAGTGCGCTCTGTCTCCCACACAGAAAGGCTGTGGCCTGTTTTTGCTGTGACCTTCCTCTATAGGATTCCTAGAGCTGCCTGGTAGAATTTGCTATGAGTATGGCATTTCTGACTGGGGAGATCTTGGCATTCACAGGATCTTGCTGCCCAAATTATAGTGAGCAGCCATGGAAGTCCTATTGGAGGGAGCATTTCAGGGAGAGTGGCCAGGCAGGCAGGTCAGCCCTCAACATAGTACCTGGCAGCACTCTTCCCAGAACAAGCAGGATTGAGTATCTGAGTATCCAAAATCATCCCCAGCACGCCATTGCAAAATGCGAAACAGTTCCAGAGGTAGAGAATGTGGACTTTTGATTGTCAGAGTCCTGGAGTCCTCAGCAGTGTTCTCTGGGAAGAAGCAGCCCTCGGGACCTCCCAGTCACTCCTGACTCTCTAGACAACTCCATGCATGTGTCGAAGCCATGCTGCTCTGCAAGGTCAACTCTGGCTGTGTGGCAGACGTGTATCCAGCTACTGCCATGCAAGCACCCTGTGTTCTGAGCTGTGTCATGACTTAGAACTGCCTACCCAGGCTCTTCCTGGAAGAGACAGGTAGCTCTGTCCTGGACAAATTTTGCCTTTAAAGACCCTTTCTCCAGCACCTCTGCTCCTCCTGCAAGATACATGGCAGATGTCCTCATGCTCCACTTTTTGTGGCTGTAAATGACAGACTAGCTAGTTTCTGAAAAAATGAAGGTTTATTCAGCTCAGGTTCAGAGTGTTTCTATAATCAGGGAAATAAATGTTAGAGACATCCAGAAAAGTAAATGACAAGATTTAAAGATAAACTGAGTCCCATTTGGACAATGAAACTGAGTCTAAAGAGCTTCCAACTTCTTCCACTTCAAGAGAAATATGGAATACTAAACACAGTTTTAAAGCTGGATCTGTAGAGTGAAGGTTTGCTTGGGCTCTGGGGGCTGGGACATGTGAGGTGGAAGGGCCTGTTGGGTGAGGACCTTCTTGCCATGGGGGACTCTGTAGAGTTCCAGGGCAGTACAGGACATCATATTGTGAGGGTCATGTGCAAGAAAATGCCAAAAGGGCCTTGTTTTGTTTAGTTTTGTTTTGATTTTGAGACAGGGTCTCACTAAGTCACTAGGTTGCACAGGTTAGGCTGGGCTTTAACCTGTGATCCTCTTGCCTCACTCTCCCAGAATGCTGGGATTCCAGGCCTGCACCACCTCACCCGACTGAACTGGCTTTTATAATACACCCTCCACTCCAAATCAATCATTAATCTATAAATGTATTTCCCATTGCTGACAGCAGGGCACTCATCCTTTGATAAAGACCCCATGTGCTTTTACCTCCTAATATATTCCCAAGGGGGTAGGCTTTCTGCCTGAGCTCTGTGGGGCACATCTTCTCAGCTCCAAACTCAAATGCCCCTCCCTCCACATGTGTCTCTCTAGCCAGCACCTGTCCTGGCTGCCCCAAGTGAGGGCACAGGGCTTTTCTCAGCACAGCACAAATTGCATTGTCCAGAGGGGACTCAGCTCATTTTAAAATCTTATTATTTACTTTTCAGGGTATCTTTAACATCTGTTTTTCTGATTACGAAAGCACTCTAAAATTAAATATAAGCAACAATGACATACCAAACCACATTCATCAGAATGGTCCGATGATACCAGATAGACACTGGGGTGTGGGGGCCCAGGACTCCTAGACACCCTGGTCTGAATGTAGCCTATGTGGCTCCTGGAGAACAGTGTGGCCATACCCAGGTAGGTGGTCACAGCCACACTGTGTCCCAGTCAGTTCCATTCCCAGGCCGTATGCCCCAGACTCCTGCACACATACCCAGAGCACTTCACTGCAGGTTCATTTAAAGGGCAAAGACAAGAGCAGCTATCATCCTCGGCACTGTGGGGCATGGATCTGAGGCTACCTGCTTGTGTTTCTCCTGGATTTTATGCTCTGTGTTATGGATGGGCAGGGTGAGAGAGTGGGTAAGGTTTCAGACTCAGCAACCACACTGGGGTTCAGACCTTAGCCTACAGTTCATTTGCTGAGTAAATTTATGCAAGTCTCTCGGCATTCCTGTGACTCAGTTTCCCAGTCCCGCAAGTGGAAAATAACACATGTGCCTCCTGCATCGACTTGAATAGCTATGCATATAAAGCATATAAAGCATATAAAGCACTCAGAACCGTGCCTGCCACAAAGTCAGCACTCAGTAAATGTCAGTTCATCACCTCAGGCTGAGGCCCTTTGGACCAGGCTAGCTCACTCAGCCCCAGGTATGGGCCAGTTGGTATTTTCTTTGTGCACCCCATAGTTTGTTGTGTTGATTTATTCTCCATTGCTCTGGTAGCTGAAACCAGGAGTTCTTGCTGGAAAAAGAAAGAAAACCTAGAAAGGCAATTTGGGCAATATAATGATCCTAACGTGTGCTGAAGAAGCTCACATTTTGGTTTACAGTTCATGGGGGTCACGGAAAACACATATCACAAAACTCATATAAGGAAAAGATAGTATTCAAATACTTTGAGCACCCCAACTGTGGCAAAACAAATGCTAAATCAAACTTTCTGGGTCTACCTGTAATGCAGAAAGCATCCTATTTAATCCTGTTTTGTTGTAATGCCATTTAGCTGGAACAGATGTTGTTGGGGTAGCCTGTCACCAATATGTTATTACAGCCAGCACACCAAACTGCAGATGCTGTAGGAAAGATGGGAAAACAATTTCTAGAGACTCAGGTTGGTGTTCACAGGGGAGAACGGAAACCATCTCTTCACACGACTCACTTTACATCCAGAGACCTTGAATCAATGTTCCCACCCTGGCAGCACAGCCTTCTGAGTGTATAAACACCTCTGTGGCTGGCGATTTTGTGATCTATATCAAAACATGTTCTTGCATTTCCAAAAGAGATTAACAGCACGAAACACTAGAAGGCACCTGGAGGGAAAAACACTTGCTGATTTGCGTAAATATTTTACTATGGAGAGCTTTTAGTGTTTAAAGCCTTCCTTCAGGGACGCATGGAGCCACCTGAGTGCGGGCATCCCTCCTTACTTGCCAGACTGCTCCATGTTTCTTGCCCTCAAATGCTGCTGAGTTAGACTCAGACACACAGGCCTGCTCCATCACACCCTGGATACTGCTCTGTTGGAAGGCCCTCAGCCTTTCTGGGGCCTAACAGGTACTTAGAGCTTATTACTGAGGGTATGCAGAGTTCTGCTGAGAATTAGGAGTACAACTGAATATGATCCATGTCTAGGTTTTCCTCATTTGGACCCACCATTTCATTTGTATAGTCATAATGTATGTGGCTCAGCTTAAGGTTTCCCAGGGCCATTTGGCTGCTTTTGGGTTCCCTGACCTCTTCCAGCAGATTGGCAAGGGTGTCACTGTCTTCCAGTGGCAACTGAGGGATCAGGAACACTGTGCTCTGCTAGTGGCCTAGTTCTGAGGCCCTGTGAGTTGGGGGAACTCTCAGACTGATGTTCTTTGTGTACTGGCTAAGAGATAACCCATGGAAGGTTTTCAGCTACCTTTAACGTCTAGACAAAATCCCAAAGGGCTGTGCCCGCTCTCTGACTCAGGCTTTGAAAAACTGATGCAGTCTGTGGTTGCATCTTCTTAGCATCTCTTCTTTGCTTCCCACACTGGAGAGCAGAAGGTGTCACATGCTAGCAGCATGCACTTTGTCGATCTAATTCTGTGTGGGTGCATGGTGCTTCCTCCATCTCCAGGTCTATTCAGAAACCTGTCAGTGTCAGCCTCTCTCGAGGTGTTTTAATCTTCACTTTGGATCGAAG